CAAACACCTATTCTGTCACATGTCAATCGAAGTTTGCTCAAGAAGAACGAAAAAGAAATTTCCAAGTTATATAAATATCCGTATTTGACCGTGAGACAAATGAAATTCAACAAAACAGAAAGAACACTATAGTTGTTATTATAACACTTTCACAACGTGCCATTACTTTGCATATCTCTCTGTAAATAAGTAATTGCAAAAGCATCTGAAACTGACGATACAAAACTATTATAAACGCACTAAAACAAAAAAAAACCACTAAAGCACACCGTTTATTAAACGTATGTTTCAACATCCCAAGTATATCATAAATTTTCAATCGTGTCAACCAAAATTATTTCAACTCTTCTTACATTACCGGTAGAACTCGTCTACCAAATTCTGAACCATCTTGATGATGTCAATATTTTATGCTCTATGTGTGACCTTTGAATACGTATGAATGTAATTGTGGACAGCTACTTTTCATATCAGGTAAAATATTGTAACATCTTTAAATTTGACTTTTATCAGTTTAAATACATTATTCATTTATCTAACATATCAATCTATATGCCGTTTCACTAGAGTATTTATCTTGACTGATCATCTATTACTAGACCGAACTGAGCAAATTTGACAATTTTTTGAAAATCACTTAGGTTTCCAATTTCAGTCAAAAACTGTAACTGACCACTGAAAAATGTTGAACTTAACTAGCAACGCCACTAGAGGCTATCTAACAATTATGGAAATGAGTATCATTCGTTGAGATGACAATAACTTACATATCCCAAATCGAATCATATTTGAAAAGTAAATTTCGAACATTATCATTAAAACTGAAACACTCACACCCATTACAGAGATCGATTCTTTCCAGGAGCAATGTCTTTACAACATTATTGCATTAAAGATACAGACCGATATATAGATAGTGTCTTTGCATCGTACAAAAGCTAAAACAACGCACGCAACTATAACCAACTTTGCAAAAGAAACTACGAGAGTCCAATAGTACATCGCGTGTGACAACATGAACAGTTTTATAATGAGTGAAACTTGAGAAAAAATACCATATAATAATAGAAATATATATATTTTTTGTCAAATGCAGTAGAAAATGAAAAGAAAAAGAAAATACAATATGTATTTGATGAACTAATATAATAATCAAATTGTTTATGTTCATGTTGGTTTATATTTACATTGTTACATTATGATTATAGTGATTATTATAATATTATTATCATTCTTATGATTACTATATTATTTGTGGTATTAGTGTTTTGATACGGATGATGACCGAACTCACCACTTAGAAAACTGGTCGAAAATTCTAAAATTTGATTATTATATTAGTTTATCAAATACTTAGGGTTGACCAAAAGTTCGTAGAATGGTGTTGTAAGAACCTTGTCGAATAAAATAATCTATTCAGAAATGAAAAACCAAATATACCATGTTGTAGAGCTTTTTGAGGAGCGTCGAATGGTATATAATAAATCCTGTTTTCATAAGACTTTGAAGAAACTAGAGTCAGTTTACTGATAGACGACTACACGCCCCCAACCACACACTCATCCAAGCATGATAGGTTATTGAATATTGTGGTTCTCGGTATTAGTCGAAAGTATTTGTAAAATATTGTTTCTCATATACGATTTTGTAGAGTTTTTGACGGGCTGCAACCTCATATACGTAGCATCTCCGGGCATCTTGTCAGTGTGGTTATGAATGGTTATGAGTGTGGGTGTGTAGTCGTTTGTCAGTAAATTGATTCTAGTTTCTTCAAAGTTGTATGAAAACAGGATTTATTATATACCATTCGACGCGCCTCAAAAAACTCTATAACATGGTGTATTTAGTTTTTCATTTCTGAATAGGTTACCTTATTCGACAAGGTTCTTTCAACACCGTTCTACGAACTTTTGGTCAACCCTAAGTATATATTGTATTTTCTTTTTCTTTTCATTTTCTACTGCATTTGACAAAATATATATGAACAGTTTTTGCCAACCATGACAAAATTTTTGTTTTTCTATACCAAACTTCGACAAGCATTACTGGGTATGATCCCAGAACTTTTCTGTCAATAGTGAACTTTTCCACTATTTACCAAGCTCAAAAATTTTCGTTCGCGGTTTCACAGCTATTAGAAGACAATATAGATGCGCTATATAAACATCTATACTCTTTGACATTTTCAGTGTTTATTTTCGCAACAAAAACCATTCCAAACTTCATGGCCTACTGCAGAAAATTTTTCAATTAAATTATCAACTGTTCATAAAGATTCGCAACACGGCATCACTTCACTACCCTTCCCTTTTTTATCTATATTATTTCAAAGCATAAACACTAACAAAACTAGAGCTCAGTCATAACCCAGTTAGTAATTATAGAGTAACGTATCTTGTCAAAGCTCTCGAATAAAACACAGTAATATCCCCAGTTTTCCATGTTTCATTCCTTGCCTGTTCGAAACAGACACTCACTACACTTGATTTCTGTGGCAGTAAAATCGGCGAGACAGTAACACAATATCTTGCCACATCTGTGGAGAAAAATCGAAGACAGCTTTAACTTTTTTTATCAACAATACTACGACTCAGCTGTTTGCCGATATTAAAATTGCCGCCGCCTCAGCTTTCGTTCCTCTTCCCATTTTCTCTTGTCTGTATTATGCTTTCATGTACTCGTCTCTCTATATGTTGTTGTCTCGTATATAAACGTGTGTTTTATGTAGAGAAGCTAAATAAGTATCGTTATGAAAAGTGATAGTAAGCTACCTCTTCAGTTTATCATTACAAAGTGGCTTTTGTGATAGTAGATATAAGAATGAAAGTGTGAGCGCGAACACTGACGGATGTTTATGGCTTCTCGTCAATTATAGTCTCGATGTTTCTGAGTCACATTTTTCTCGAATTTCAATTGTGTTGTTTATGTAACTTTGTTGTCTTTCGATCTGCTGTCATATTTTATACTGTCTTGTGATTTTATTTGAAACAGAAAAACGTTGTTTGCTTCTCATGGTCAATTAACACAGTCGTTATAATATGCACTGTAACTAGTGCTACAAATAAGCATCTTTTGATTAAACTCGGTTTCAAAGGATGAAACAAGCTTTCTATTTCGTTTTGAATCTCTGTCAACTCAGTATAATTAAGCCAAAATGCTGCAAAGCTATTCATCGTACTCATCGATTAACAGATTGAAGAGTTTTGACTTCAGAAAAATGAATGCTGCGTATAAATGAACAGATAAATAAGTAAGATCATCATCGACAGTGTATATATCTGGTAATCGTGGTTTATATCCGAGATATCACTTGACTGATGTTTGTCATTCTGCGAATTGTTATTCACATCGGAAGTGTAGCGAGATGAATGAGTAGAGATAGAGCATGTTTCAGATATTGGATTCATGGATTGAGTCGTGTTCCTTACACATTGAATCCATGAATTCCTATAATTTGATGACATCAATTAAAAAAATGGTTTTTTTTTTCTTGAATAGTTCGTTCGTTTGTAAGACGTTTACCATAGCCTTATTCCATCACTTTTAAGTGAAATATTGTATTTTTATTTTCTAGATGAAACTTTTATGCGATCATGTCTTTTGATATCACCATCTAGTTGTTGGTACATGACATTTCAAAGCACTGGTGGTCACGAAAAGTAGCACAGCATCGTGCAGCTATAAAAGAATGATCTTTCATGTTTGTTTTGTTTTTATCATAAACTTCTTCTATTTTTGGATACCCAAGTGATTTGATTCTGCTTATGGATTATTTCGGAAAAGATGAGATCCGATAATCAATTACTCCGGATGTGAGCGTTTTCTCTAGAGGAACCAGTTGAATCTGACCTAGATTTCGTTTAAATCTTTCCGACTGGATTCGACCATCCTATATAAATTCAATCGAGTACATTTGATACTTGAGTGAATATGAAAAATCAGTTCACTTAGTGGCGTACGAGAAAAATACTTTAATCAAAACTTCTGTTTCTTCGATATACCCCACCTATATTTTATAGAAAACCGACATAGAGCGTAAAAAAAATATTCTTTTTTTTTCTTTTGAAATGAAATCGATAGATTTTCCATACAAGTAGATTATTCAATCATGAATAATCTTTGATATCTTTCGATAAATTTCTGATGAAAATCAAACGTTTTGCTTTTTAAGATACATCTATACTATTTGACTTTCTCAGATTCATCATTGTGACTTAGTCTGCTAATTGGAGATCAGTTTCTACCAATTCATTTATCATTTGCAGAAGTATTCAAAGCGCGAAGGGGAGATTAACCATCAATCTGAGAAAATTTTCCATTTTCGTCCGTGAAACAGCGATTTTCTTCGCTTTTTGCTCGGGTATCTCTGCAACGACAATCAACCTCCCAATGACTGACAAGGCTGAGTGGATGCATTGTTCGGCATATATCCAATTGGTAATATGTAAACTCAGCAGTAGCAGCAGCTATTGAATGAGTCTGAGCAATTCACTAATCTCTATTTGTCTCGAATTACGCATCTGGTAACATACTGAATAAGCTGCGACATACACATGCCCTCATAGCTAGTATGTAATTAGTCAGTGTGTACGGAAATGACCAACCTTCTGTCCAGAGATACAGCTATTACTAGTTGTAGGTAATACATCAGGCTGATGAATATGCTATTAGGCAGCACTATATACTGTGGGGTAATCGAAAAGCAGGAGTATTCTTCTTCTTTCGTATCTTGATGATTTCGAGACTTTCTGGATCATTTTTGGATTACATATCTTGCCGATTACACTATAAATCATTAAATAAGTGTAAATGTCACAAACAATATTTCTCTCTTCACAAATTAGTCCCTATATATATCTCGGGATGACGAATGAAGAATACAATAACAACAAAACTAATATATATATATATAAATACTCACAAATAAGCAAACAAAAAAAGAGAAAAAAAAATGCAATAATTTGTTTTTTTTTCTATTCAATAATAATTCTTTATTACTGCTACACGATACTTGCAGTTGTCTCAGCTGAAGAAGTTTTTGTATTAATTGAAGTTTTTTTTGATGATGGTTCGTCACCATTATCAACTTGATCAAATGATCGTTTTGTTGTTGTTGCTGTTGTCTCTTGTTGATGAATAGTTACAATGGAAATTGAAGAAGTCGATGATAATGGTGCGTGAAGTTTAAAGTCATTTGAAAGAAAAGACGTTGGATTTGTTGGATCAACTACCCCAGCTGCCGTACAAAATTGTTGTTCTTGTTCTTCGATAAATTTTTCAATTATGTCACTAAAATTTATAGTGAAATATATACAACTAGAAGTATTATACGTGCAATGCTTCTTGGCTTAGATATTTCAATTTAAATGTTAATAATGGTTCAAGAGTTAAACAAGACTTTGTCAAATCGCATATAGAATATGTCAAATAGATTAATTTCGAAAAGTTTTCGAATAAACCAAATCGATTATTAAATCATCTAATTTCGAGTCTTCATTAGAGTCTGTTGAGTTACTCTCGGATTCCATCAGGTCTGGATAATTTCTTTTAGCCGGGTTCGAAAACCTTGAATCCCGATGAGCGCTAGTCTACATGTTTAAACTCAACAGATTAATACAATGAAAATAAATTACTATTTTTTCTCATTAAAAAAATGATACATAATCAAAAGGAGGAATACTCAAAGCTGTACGGATACTAAAATGTAATGTTTTGTAAATTTAAAAATTTCATAGTAATTTACCTGACAGAAGTAAGTGAATTAATACGTTGTTGTTCTTCAATAAACAATTGATATCGTTCACTTTTTTTCCATTGATAATAAAAATGAACTATTTCACGAACAGATCGATTTGAACACTACAAAAATCAATTAGAATAATTTATTTTGATAAAAAACAAATAAATGATAATGCTTACTTTATAGGTAGAAATTCTAAAAAAATTCTTTCCATATTCACGTAAACCTTCTTCAAAATTTTCTATTTCAGCTAATGACCATGCAGAATAGGAATCTAAAGTAAAGTTTTTTGTTTAAATAATAACATAGAAAAGAAATAAATTTATACAAATAGTTTTATTTGATAATTGACGAAATTTGATAAGTGCTAGTTCAGTATTTAATTGACAATTCAAAAGAGTTTGAAGAGATATTTCATCATCTGATGATGGATCTTTACAAAAACAAAACAACAATATGAAATCTAATACAAAAAATAAAATAATAATAAAAATATATTTACATTCAGTATGAATTATTTTAAGATATTCATCAATATTTTCATTGTCACTATCAGTTACAGAGGATGATGACCAAAGTAATTCATCAATCGGTACTAAAGAAGTATAAATAATATTTTAATTCGTATATAAAAAGTAAATAGTAATAGAATGAATGCCTAAAATACTAATTTTATTAAAAATAAGATTCAGAAATGAATAAAAAACAAATCAATTTTCATTGTTATAAAGAAGGTGCCTATTGATAATCGACTGATTATAACAAGTTTTTTCCATGAATGGAGCAAGAGATTAGTTTGCTTATCCCGTATAACAAATGAATGCAGTTTTTTTTTGAAACTCAAAAATCTGAGTTTTTAGAAAAAAAAGTGTTAAAAATATATTCTACATAGGATATCAACTAGATATGACTGATACATCAAATTAAAAATAAAATAGGTTAGTTTTGTTCATGCTTAATACGCAGCTCGTGAACGTCAATTATAATTTTTTTGTAATCGCTAAAAAACGAAGCCAATACATGATTATAAGTACCTTCTTATAAAAGAAAACCATAATACATTCTCCATAATAAAAAAGCTAGATTATTGAATCGTTCATGCATAAGGGCATATCAATCAGTTACCCTAGAAATTCATCTTTTTTCTCTTACACTTTCAACACAAATATATATATTCATCCTTACTGAATCTTGATAAGATATCCTAGAACATTGTTTTCAAATGCTATCTTGTAATCATTGACAAAACTAAGGATTTATTTACCATCTCTATCATCATCATATTCATTCGATAAATCATATTTTGCTTTTAATTCAATTTGTGCTTGATATTCATCACCAATATTAACAAGCTAGAAAGAAAAAAAAAAGCAAAATTCTCTATTCATATTATAATTAGATAAAACAAAACAAACTTTAACTATATCAGGCTCATATAAACTATCTTCTGTATCATCATCATCATTATCAGGTAATAATTCTCCATTCATATGAAGTAAATGATGTCTTCGATCGTCATCATCATCGTCGTCATCATCTTCAACATCTGATGAACTAAATGACTAAAAAAAAATCAAAATATAAAAATACTTAAAATTAAAAAAAACCAAAACTCATTTTACATCTTCATCATCTTGTATGATTTCATTAGTGATTGTTGGTATATTCTTACTATACAATTTAAACAATTCATCCAAAGGCATATTTGCATCCTAAAAACAAAAAATATTTAAGAATTCTTTTTTTCTTTCATTTAATAAGGAATAAACTTACAACTTTTAAATGAGTTAATTCATTTTGTTCATCATCTGTACTTGATTGTTCTTCTTCTTCTTCGTCAATTGTTCTTTCATCATCTTCGTATCGAATTTGATAATCATCATCATCTATTAAAAAATATGTTATATAAACAAAAAACTTATTACAACAAAATAGAAGTGATCTAATCAACCTGTTTCCGTTGGATTTGAAGTCATTTTGAACAATTGAAATATACGAATACAAAAGTTTTTATGTCTAATTTTTATTAAAACCTATTGATTGGATAAATTCATTGGATCAATTAAATTTTATTATCTAGATGTCACTAAATAAATTTTCTCTCATAAATAATTTTTTAAATAAATATTACGGCACACAAAAAGGTTTCTTTATTTTTTTCTTTTTTCTTATTTTTTTTTGCAATTTATTAAGTTTTTTGTATTGGCCAAGCAGTTAACAAATCATAAAGATATTTTCTTTAAGTATGTCAGGAGACCAGCATAGATAAAAATTGATTTCGACGTGTGAGACTAAAATAAATAATAAAATGTGTTTTGAAAAAGATCATCCATATAAATCTTTAAGAAAATTCATTAAACATCATAATCAAGAACATATTTATTATGATGTATCACAACTTAATCCACAATTATATTGTAAAAATATAAAATTTTGTTCTTTTGAAAATTTTAAAATTTGAAATCTTATTATTTAGCACAATTACCATTTTGTCTTCGAATTTTACTGGAATCAACTGTTCGTCATTGTAATAATATTTCAATTGAAAATAAACATGTACAACAAATATTAAATTGGCAACAAAATGCTATGCCAAGCAGTGAACTACCTTTTTTACCTAGTCAAGTTATTATGCATGATTTTTCGTAAAGAATCTTATTCTTTTTATTTTCGATTTTTATTAAAATGATCTATTCTTTTATTTTTACTTTAAAGTGGTTTACCAGCAATAATTGATTTAGCAGCAATGCGTGATGCAGCTGTACGCTTAGGTGTTGACCCATATGTTATTCAACCAAAAATAGCAACAACACTTTTATTAGATTATTATAATATTGAAGCAGATGTCGCAAGAAAGTAAAATTAAAATATATTTGTAAATTTCTTTTTTTTTTATTAAAGATTCTGATATGTTAGAATTGTAAGAAATACAAAAGATACAAATAATACAACAAATTTAGAATGTGGTTATGAATTATGTCCATTTCATCAAGAAAAAACAATATGGTAAATGATAATAGAATAAATATACTTTTTAAAATAAGATTGCATTATTTTTAATTTTTAGTGCTGATGCTATTGAAAGAAATCAACAATTAGAATTTGAACGTAATATTGAAAAATTACAAATTATGAAGGTAAAATTTGTTGACTTTTTGTTCTTGTAGGAAATAAATTATAAAAATGTTCAAGAGAAAAACTTTGAGTTTGTTTTTATTTTTAAAGTGGAGTTCAGCAGCATTTAATCATTTATCAATAGTTCCACCAGGAATCGGTGTATGCCAACAAATCAATCTTGAATATTTATCAAAATTAATTATCTTAGAAAAAGATAATGATGAAAAAATAACAGTTGTTTATCCTGATACAGTTATTGGTACTGATACACATACAACACTTTCAAATGGATTTGGTGTATTAAGTTACAGTAAATAAATTCAATCACGTTTTTGTTTCTTAAATATATTAAAATGAATTATTTAGATATAGGTACAATTGAAGCTGAAGCAGCAATGTTTGGACAACCAATTCATATACGTCTTGCATCAATTGTTATTGGTTGTCGTCTTGTTGGACAACCACATTTTATGTCAACATCAACTGATCTTATATCAGCTTTGATTAAAGTATGAATAATTATTTGTAGTAAATTTATTGTATCTTTTTCATAAATAGTATCTACGTGTGATTGGTATTGATAATAAATATATTGAATTTTTTGGTTCCAGTTTAAATTATTTAACTATTGCTGATCGTTCTTCAATAGCACATTTATGTGTTGAACAAGGTGCTTTACTTGCTTATTTTCCATTGGATGATTTATGTCTAAAACATTTTTCTCGTACTGGTAAAAGTTTTTAGTTCTTTTTTTTTTTGTTTATCTATGAAATTTAATCTATGGACAATTTATAGGTCGAGATCCATCGTTTATTGACAAAATGCGTAATTATTTAGTTGCAGCTAAATTATTTAGTGATGATGTTCAACATCAAACTATTGTTTATACAAATGTTTATGAATTTGATTTATGTACTGTTATACCTAATTGTAGTGGACCAAAACGTGCACAAGATAAAGTATCCTTATTTTCGATGAAATCGGATTTTCAAGAATGTCTTACTGCACCATCAGGATTTAAAGTATGAGTTAAAAAAAAAACAAAAAAAAAATAGCTGTTAATGTAATTCTCAAAGGGTTAAACTTTTGAAATACTATCTAAAATATTATTTTTCATATTGCTTTGCATAAACTGATATAAGTTACTATGCGATGTACTCTATACTCTACTTAATGTAAAAGATAAACTATATATAAGTTATTTATAATACTTTAGTGTCCTTATCAATTGATGATTCTTTATTTTTTCCTACGTAATAATAAGTGACAGGAACATAGTGTGTAGGTCGATAATATGTTTTTAACAGTTGATGATGGACGGTTGCTAATGTGTCTGTCATAATATTATAGTAGAGTCCAAATTGGGTCTTGTCATCAAAAGTATTTTCGTTCTTGGGCCAGGTTATTAAGAATATTTTTGTACTAAGGTTGTGTCAGGTCATGATAAGTTGACTGATATCGAAGTTTACAAAAGACAAGCCGCAATTCTAAGTAGGATAAAAACTTTTCCATTAAGAAAAAGTTCGTATAAATTCATCAACATGATTATTTAAGTTCTGAAGAAACTTGTTTTGATTGATCATGAAATATCTTTGACCTCAGATGGAGTCTTAAAAAACTGGCCTATGTCGGACTTTGATCAGTAGGAGAACAAGACTTCAAAAGTCTTCTAATATGCTTCAACACTTCTTTTAGATCGTATGTCACAAAACACAAATTGTTTTTCAGGTTTCATTACCTCCATCTTATTTTCTTTAATATGATTTCTGAGTAGAGAAGATTGATTTTCTAATAATATTTATTGACTGATGCAGCAGTGGTCAATTTCCTTGAATAATATAAACTCTACAGAACAAATTCTGAGAACTAAGAGACCTTGAGAAACTATGTTGAGTGTGTATGTGTTGTTATGTGACGAAAATACACACGTCCATCTTCAAAATAATCTTTAGTTTTTTTGCTGGTAGTCGATGATTGTTTATTTTTCTAATTAATGTTGGAGTTCCGAAGTCTTCAAAAGTTCAGTATACTTGGAACTTGAACATATCTCTCTTTTCCAGATTTTTAATCATAGTTCGAAAGATCATTTTATATCACAAGAATCTACTCTATAGATTCTCTAACTTTTGTTTCTGTTAGGGTTACAACCTTCCAACAGATCAACTTGATTGTTCTATTCCAATATCTCCTGATGAAATATTGAAACATGGTTCAGTTACTCTTGCTGCTATAACAAGTAGTACTAATGGAATTAGTCATGCCACATCATTATTAACCACAGGTACATTCTAATAAATAAATAAATGTTATTCTATCATATAAAATGGAAAAAAAGAAACATTCTCATTCTTTAAAACTAAAATTAAATATTTATATTTGTAAGATATCATAACAAACAAGTTTTGTTTTTTTTTCTTTATATCTTGCCAAAATTTTTGAAGAAAAATAATAACGTAAACAACATTCAATTAATTCAAATAAAAACATCACTTTTCTATCTTTTTTTGTTTCTTAATATGCTATGTATTTTTCAATGATGAGATTTTCTATATGTCAAATATTTCTTTTAGGTCTATTAGCAAAAAATGCACTTAATTGTGGTCTTCAAATACCAAGTTTTACTCAAACACATCTATCACCTGGTAGTGGAGTTGTTACAACATATTTACGCGAAAGTGGAACACTAAAATCCTTAGAGAAATTAGGGTAACAACAATATAAACATGTTTTCTTCAAAAATAAATTCTTCTCTTGTTTTATAGTTTTCATATAACCGGTTATGGTTGTAAAGAATGTATTCAAAATGAAGAAATGAATGGATTAAAATCTGATATAAAACAAATTGTAAATGAAGTTAGTAACAAAAGAAAAAAACAGAATAAAAATTCTTTTTTTTTTTTTTAGAATAACTTGATAACTATTGGTATGATTAGTGGTACACGTCAGACCCAACAGCGACATTCATTAATTAAAGCCAATTATATAACATCACCACCATTAGTCCTTGCTTATGCATTAGCTGGCAATGTTCTTATTGATTTAGAACAAGAAACAATTGGTTTTGATAATAAAAAAATATCTATCAGAAATATTTGGCCTAGTCGACAAGAAATTGAAGAAATAGAAGATGAAATAATAATTAAAAAAATTTTTAATCAAATTAATGAAAAAATTCAAGTATATTTAATAATAAATTTTGTTTAATACAATAAATAAATAAAAATTAATAAATTACTTTAGATTGGTAACCCACAATGGAATTCATTAAGAATACCTTCAATTAATACATATCCACAATATCCATGGGCAGAATATTCAACTTATATAACACGATCACCATTTTTTGATGCAATAGTAAAGAATATATATTTCTTTTTATTCTTAGCAAATACGAATAAATTTTCTTTCTAATTTTATAGACTAAACAAAATCCTACATCAAAAACTATATGTATTGATAATGCACGTGTACTTCTCTATTTGGGTGATGATGTATCAACTGATCATATATCACCAGCAGGTTCTATATCTCGAACATGTCCAGCTGCGAAATATTTAACACAAAAAGGGTAAATTAAAAAATGATGTTGTTTATACAAAAAATGCAAATAAATCAGGCGTTTTCAAGATAAAATACCAAACAAATCATTAGAACAGTCAACTCAATTTTATGTCGATTGACTTGTATATTGAGTAGGATAATTATAAAAAGAGTTCTTACTCATTAAATTCCCATAGATTGACACAATATTCGTATCGAATTGCGAATCTGCTGAAAATACAAGTATATCTGTTTCCTGTTGATCGGCACTATCTCTTTCAATAGTATTCAATCAAACAAAACTAGCATATATGAAAAA